TATAAAGCGCACGGCTAAACATAGCCTTCTCTAAAAGATAAAAATAAAGGAATAAATATATTTCTGAATGAAAAAATATAAAGTCAAGCTGTGCATTTCACAAATTGCCCAATAGAAATATCATATCTATCATATATAAACTTTACAATATGTGTTTATACGTGTTTTTGATGGAGCCTTCAATTATTTTGAGTTGGATCGGACCACATGTCACAAAATTCTGGACAAAAATAGATCGATTTGCTTTTTCAGTGTTATCTCTAGTATAAATTTCACCCGATGTAACATCAGTTTTCGCGGTTTTCAAGAGGCGCAACACAGGAGGAAGTCATCCTTCACAGCAGCAAGAAAATTAGAATAAAATTTGACTCTCTTTTGCGACAGAACTAAGTGTTATTATTTGATCTCATTATAGACTTTTGCAGAGCCTGGAAAGCTGAATCTTTTGGCACCTAAGTGATTATTTTTACGCACATCAATTTTAACACATATTGTAAGCTTTACAGGGTCTTACACAGGGCTCTGTTTCTTCGGACATTCGCGGTGATGCTTATATCTTCCCGGTAACTCATGAGAAAATTGTAGAGAAAAAAAAAACACAATTAGATTGTCCGTGTAAGACCCTGTAAACTTTACAATATGTGTTTATACGTGTTTTTGATAGTGCCTTCAATTATTTCTAAACGCATGATGTCGTTATGTTGTTTATGGCATAACACATACAATAATAACATTGTTCTTTAAGAGTACCCTTCCCTCGTTTTGGGCTTTCCGCAGAAATACTGAGATATAAAAACTAAAAGTCACTATGCCTTCATATTTTCATTGGAATTATTTAGATAGGTAGGTACCGTTAAAGAACAATATTACAAAGTTGAATATCATCTTGGTGGCCCGTATGACGCTTTTTAAGAACTTGTCGTTCGCCAGAACGATACAGAATTATTGAAAAACATTGGCAATTATAACTCATTCTTATTTTCTTCAGAAACTGTTTGTTGCTTCTATTACGTTCACTGCACTGTGAAAAATAAAGTGCTACAAAAACTGTCTTTTATGAAAAGTGTTTTGCTATAAAGCGCACGGCTAAACATAGCCTTCTCTAAAAGATAAAAATAAAGGAATAAATATATTTCTGAATGAAAAAATATAAAGTCAAGCTGTGCATTTCACAAATTGCCCAATAGAAATATCATATCGTGTTTCAGAAAATGTGAACTTTTCTATGTTATCTGGAAATCTAGTTCTACATAGTTGCAAAATGGCCGGGTGCTTAAATGCGTGTTTTGCTTCTGAAAGTTTTTGATAGAACATGAATGGAAATATCGTGTACTACTAGTAAACTTTTGTTTTAATTCAAAAATATCATTACATATGTCAACTCATATACCACCCATGTCTCTGCACATGCATTAGACTCTCCATAAGTCGATAACTTAAGATATGTGCTGTCAGACTATAAGAATATCTGGACCAAAATCATAAACAAATGTCAAATCAGCCAATGGTTTCAGTACACTATATGAGACAATTCCCAAGAGCGTAAAAACGGGTAAAAAGACGGGGTCCGAAAACTAAAAAAACGGCCCGTAATATTTCTCATTGGACGGGTCCGCCTCCCATTTGCCACGAGGTGACGGGGTCTAAACTGTTCAAAAAGACGGGTGTTCCGTATAACTACACATTCTGCATCGAAGAAATACGGGGTCATGAAAAATGATTTCTTATACCTTCGAAGCGTCGTGTGGTTACCTGTTCTATTCTTAGACGCCTTGACATGTAAATTAACAAAACAAATCGGGTCATCATACAAGGATTACAGAGGACAACCGGAACATTACATTAAATTGAGTTTTACAGCTTCTTTATGAATACGATTATTTTATTTTGACAAATCTGTTTCAACCGAAAATCGGCTTGCTACATACTAATGGCTGTTTTACAGCTATTAAAATCAATAAACAAAATGAAATGCGCACTGTCTGTTTCTTGTTATAATTTTTACTTAATTGTATCATAGAAAACACATGTTTCTTTCAAATATAACTTCAATTTAGCACAAAAAGATATTATAAATACAGGAAGAGGCTATTGTTCACATTATGAAAGGTAATTTATCCTCGAATCTTCAATAGCAACAATGAATAGTATACTATTATTTCTTGCTGGCTGCATGCTCTTTGGTTATGCGAACTGAATCAAACCCATCTAATGATTTTAAATTTGGAGGTGACAATGATGGTGTACATGATCATTACCAAGAACTTGAACATTGCTACAAAAAGTATGGAAATAAAATTTATCAGTTAACAATCTCAATAGATCAGCGTTCACCATATTATGCATTAATGACGTTACTTAATGGTGGGATATGGTTTGAAGATGACAGTCTTCAAAACGGTGATAATACTGCTCAGTTTGGTGAACAATTGAAATATGGTACACATCATGGACATTGCAAATGTCTTAATCAATCCAGAACAGTGCATGCCGCTGATTATGGCTATCAATACCCAGTTTTAACGCTACCAGAAGGTGCGTTAGCTGTACATGATTATCGTCTCAATTTTGATCATAGCGGTGAAACATGCAGTGGAACATTTTCATTTGCTTTTTATAAAACTGGTACAGATCTGTCTGCGAAAAATATTATTCAACAAGTTTCAAATGCAGTAGTGACTTGTGAACGTTTGCCGGCTTTTGTTTTATAATGCTATTTTAACTGTATTATTCAGATTAATTTGGTCTATTGATTGATTTCATTTTCATGATAATATAATGTTTATTTTCAACTATATTGCCATTTTAATTTGTTCTCTTGGTTGAAAGATCCATTTCTTAAATATACAACAAACATTTTTGTAAAAATGGGGTATTAATGTTTATGTCATAAGAATAAAAAGAATGGCGTTGTCTACAGTTCTTCACGCTCTTTCAAACAGTAAAATCCAAACAAAATAGAGTTACAACGGGTGCTCCGGTGGTGTTTTTATTTCCGGTAATAGTGACTGGAAGGCTCGAATGAAAGTAAGTTCTGAATTTCGTTGTTCTATCACCTGTAGGTTCAGTTCCAAAATTGAAGAACTTCTACTAAACTTCGAACCCAGTTGAGTTTCTATTATTCGACGTTGTTCGAGTTCCGTATTGATATAGATTCATTTATTCAAACTTTTCATCCAAGAGCTATTTATTATCCGTACTTTATACAATTCTAAGTGCAGGCACGGATATATTCTGTTCATTTTTCTTGATTCTTTACGAAGCCAATGGATTAAAAGAGAATGATGTTGTCTGGCAATGAAACTGTTTCAAATGAAGCAGTTTCATTGCTAGATAACTCAAATAAGTTGAGTTGTATTGTAAGCGTTTATCTTTAGCTGAATTAATTTTTTGTGTTCATCTTTAATATGTTCTGTACAGGCAAATAATACTGATATTTCTGTTTGAAAATTCGAGGAAATTATTTTCGAGATTGTCGGTTTTAAGGAAATCTTTTACACACACCCAGACAAATGAGTTTTGAAAGACAAATTAGTAGGGTAAAGTTGAGAATCAGAAAATGTAAGTCGTACTACAACGTGCATTTATCGCTGATGTTGGCAGGTAACGTCAGTTTCTTTTTAACATAAGAAATCCCAAGCAAAACCTCTCTAGCAGAAATATCTAGATGCCTTTGCTGATGCATCGGCCGGTTTTGTTTACTCATTTAGCTAGATGCTGCTGCTGGGACATCGACTTATCCAGATGCATCGCTCGATGCACGTCTAGATACTTCGATCAGTGTATCGCACAGATGTCGCCAGATTCCAGCCAAAACGACGCATTCACCCTGTTTATTTTGTGGACTAGAGTCGATGCATCGAGCGATGCAGCTAGATAAGTCAATGCTCCAGCAACAGCATCTAGCTAAATGAGTAAAAAAATCTACTTATCTAGATGCACCTAGTCATTTTCGCAGCAGAAAAAAAAGCGATGCAGGGTCTTTTTTTTTAGCTGGGGATAAGGAGGAGTAGCTTGAGATAAGGAGAAGTAGCAAACTGGTAGACCCAAGAGAAAATGGAAGGAAAACGCTGAGGTTATAAATGAATTCGTACTAGGAATCACAGATGGTGGAATTGGATCATTTCCAAGTTCAAGTCAAGTCCAAGTCCACTGGAGCCTAAGTCCAAGTCAAGTCGAACTTCTTCATAGCAGTTTATGCTATACAGTATGTCATAATCATATATAATGGGTAAATAAATTTTATCCATAAAGTGGCGTCAATTCAAAAATTTTATTTTCCAAGTTTTTCATCATAAATCGATACAGTGCGTCAAGTTACACAGAAAACGTAAATTTCATAATTTTAGAACACATTTTTCGATTAAAAAAATTTCAGAGAATGGTTTTTATAAAATGGGTAAAAGTAAGCAAAATTTTCAATAAAACTCAAAATTCGGCCTCTTACTCTTGTCTTAAAATCCCAACAACAATTCTTTTACAATTCTACATCGAAATCCGACTTTGGAAAACTACTTTTTGGAATTTTAGAACTTGAAATGTGCTTAAAATCCATGGGACACGAGCAGGATGGAATGGTTCTTTCTTGTGTTCACAAGAAAGAACGCTTTCGATTTTTTGTTAAATGTCTGCCTGTATTTCCACTGTGTGGGAAGAACTTTTACCAGCTATTTATTGTTCTATATTGAGATGAGGATATTTAATTCGGAGAGGGTTTTGGTTTAGAAGTTGTAGAAAAACCCTGCAAATAATACTGGTAGTTTCTGTTTAGAAAATTCGAGGAAATCCTGTTAGAGAAAACTTCATTCGAGCAAATGCTCCAAACCTGTGAAAAGAGGTGCAGTCCTGAGTGTGAGCACAGGACAAAAATTATGCTGTCTCTCAGCCAATGATAGTAAATTTCTCATACTTCAGTTGGTGAAGGATGATTCAACTATTTAACACAAAATAAAATTCTGTGAGTAATATTATAAATATACTTTTCATCTCACTTAATTCTTTGGCAACAATACTATACATGTATAATACCACCACAACGGTCTATGATCAATTCGGCTTTTCCATACAGTACTGATGAAACTGAGTCAGACATACCATTCTTTATATTGAATATTCATCGAATTTGTCTCTAATGACAATAATAATATATCTAGCGATAAGTTTTTTTCTTCTCAATACTAATACGCTTTGCTTAACTCTATGCGCTTCTTTCTTTCTAGCCATTATTTTGAAAAATTACGAAATTTCTTTCTTTTTCCTTTCCAATAGCACTGTGTTCTTTTTTATGAGCATATTTTATGTAAAAAAGAAAGATGATAGATTCTATACTTTCGATAATCAATAAAAAAATGTAATATTTTCTTTCTTTCTGTATTTTTCACCATCCTAACACAAAATTATTCAGCGAGAATTGAAGAATAATTCAGATAACTAAATTGTTATATAATTTACGATGGATATGGATAACACCAAAAAATGTATAGAAAATGAATGAAAAAAAATCACAAGAATAAATTGAGTTAATAAATCAACTTTCATTTCATTTCATCTTATATCAACAAGCTTCGTTTCATATCTATAACTTTGATAAATGTACTAACTGTTGTTGTTGTTGTTCTAAATTAGAATTCTTATCATTATTGTACAGTTGATTAATTATCGTTTGAAAATATTGTCGTGCTGCCATCCGACGTGTTTTGAATGTATTTGTTATCAAACCATTGCCTTGAGACATTAATTCTGGATATAAATATATATTACTAATTGTTTCATAATATTTCAAGTTATATTGTTTGGCCAAACGTAATAAATCAGACATTATTATTTGTTTTAATTTATCATTTCGACATAATTCGTCGAATGACTGTTGTTGTTGTTGTTGTTGATTTTTATTATTAAAATGTTTTCTACAATAATCTTCATCTGGTATAACAACAGCTACAACCGTCGATTGCATTGTTAAACCATCTACATATATTTGCGCAACCCAAAGGGATCGTATATAAATATCTTCCAATCGTTCGGGAGCTAGAAAATGAAAGAGAAACCAGAGAGCAATTGCGTTGCGCATAAGTTGCGATGTCGACGGACTCTGTCTCTGCTGACAGCTGCCAAAAGTTATCAATTCAGTCAGTAGATTTCCACCGCACCACTCTGACTGTGATTTTCTATTTGAGCTGTTTTAAAGGAGATAATTAGAGGGAATAATAAAATAGAGAATTGAATATAAAGAACAGCGAAAGACAAATGAGAGAGAATTAGCTTTCTTCTGCAGAATAAATAGCGCCGGGCAACTAATGCTAATGAACTTAAAAAAACTTTCGGGTCTAAAACATATTTTTTATCCCCTTGTGTAGCTTATGGCGCCGAACCTGCACTTATTTTTGAAAAAAGAACGTACAGTGGTCAGTTTTCAGTACGGCCCACTCCGTTTTTCTTATCAGTTTGTAGAAGACACTTTGGAGTATATATTTCAATACTTTTTTCGGGTACTGGACCTGTAGTTTTTCAGAAAATAATTCTCGGTTTTTTGCTTCATTTTCAGATTTCTATATATAACCTCGGTTCTGATGTCAATCGATAGAGGACATCAAGATGTATCTACAAAAGATTTGGTCAAACCTTTACTGAGTTATTTCGCTTTGACTTGCCCGATGATTTTGGAGCAAGAAGTATTTTTAAAAACACCTTGAACCAAATTTCGCACGAAGGAAGCATTTTCAAGGAAAAGTGCGGGTACGAAAGTTGTTCAAAACCAGATTCCCTGGAATATGGACGACGGATATTTCAAAATTCATTAATCTCGATTTTTAAATTGAAAAATACGGTTTTTAAAATTTTAAAATTTAGTAAAATTTAATTTAAAAGTCCACTTCAACGAATTTTGAAAAATTCCTCGTTCATACTCCAAGGAATCTGATTCTGAACAACTTTCGTATCCACACTTTCCCTTGAAAATGCTTCCTCTGAGCGAAATTTGGTTCAAGGTGTTGTGAAAATATTTTCGTTTAGCTAAAAGTTAGAGAAATTTTTTAGTTTTGAATTTTATTGTTAAATTGTACCAGTTCGTAGAAGACACTTCGAAGTACATGTTCTGAAGTTTTTTCGGCTTACTGACATTGTTCGGCTGAGAAAAAAATTAATTACTTACAGAAAATATTATTAAATTTTTGAGCACGAGACTTTTATAAAAAAGTTCTAATGAATGAGTTAGATTCTAAAACTCTTAAGCTAGCCAGTCTTGTAGCTCATGCAAATCTCTATCAGGTGAGGTATAGCTTAAATTCGTTGTTGAGTCCTTATTTTGCAAATGGGACTGTAAGCTAGTAGAGCAGGCTAAATTAACCTTAATTAGTGCTAATTAGTCAATAACAGGAAAGAAAGAAAAAATTTTTTTACATATTTTCTCGTAGCAAATATTCTCCACACATCTCTCTATGAGGAGTGTCAGAATATCAGTACGCAGTGCAGTGTATTGTCAAAAAGACACTATTTTTTTCAAACTTTCTGGGCTTTCTGGGCTTGGTGTATTCTCGTGTATTCTCACTGACAATACAGGAGAATATACCAGAATACGCAAATATATAACTTACAATAAAATGTGCCGTGCTTGCTGGGCTTGGTATATTCTCAGTGACAATACATAAATGTTGCATAGTGGCTCACTCTCATACTGCACCTTCCCCTCCTCCCCCTCCCCCGATCGCGACACTATATTATGCATTGTAAATGCGGATACACCAGGCTCAGCAAGCCTAGCACGTTTTATAGAAATTTATATATTTGCATATTCTGGTATATTTTCGTGTATTGTCACTGAGAATACACCAAACCCAGGAAATAGTCTCTTTTTAAGAATACACTGCGTACCGATATTCTGACATCTCTTCTCTCTATCGATCTAGACAAGAAACAAGTTTTTATGATGAATGCAGAATGGCCAGAAATTCTTTTAATAATAGTCCCTTGTTCAAAAACTTAACAATATTTTTTAAAGTAATCGATTTTTTTCTCAGTCAAATAATGCCAGTAAACCGAGAAAACTTCAGGACATATACCTCGAAGTATCCTCTACAAACTGGGAACGTTGGGCGAAAATCTAAATGGGAATATTTTGGGGATATCTTGGCGATAAAATGGTTTGAGGTGTCGGGGTGGTGATATTCGTGATCTCCGTTGAATTCTCTATCGAATAGTGTACAACACATTGGAAAATAAAATTCACTTGATCTTTGCAAAGCTTTCACCTTATGACGGTTTTTATTATATTTATTATGTACCGTATGAAGAGAGAGAGATTTAAGAATATTCTAAGAGGCAGTGCACGATAGAGACGAACGAAGTCGCTCAATGAACTGTCACAGATTTTTCTCAAATTATCAGCGCAGACAGAGAAATGTGTCCTGAACATTTTTGTCTCTTGACATTTTTTTCCAAAATG